GGAATCTTACAGGAGTCAGAAATCTCAGGAAGAACTAAAAGCCATAAATGAAATAGAAAGAAACCTAAAGTATTTCTTTTCTTATGCCAAATCAAAGTCGAGAACAACATCCAGTACTGGACCCCTACTTAAACAAGATGGGTCCTACAAAGATGACAGCAAGGAAATGAGTTAGCTACTCAAGTCCCAATATGACTCAGTTTTTAGCAAGCCGCTAACCAGACAGAGTCGAAGATCAAAATGAATTTTTTATGTGAGAGCCACAGAATTTGGTAAACACAAGCCTATCTGGTGTTATCCTGACGCCAAATGACTTTGAACAGGCAATAAATGACTCGTGGAACTCCGTGTTCATCAAGAACTGCAAGAAGCCCCTATCACGAGCTTTTACCATCCTATGGAGAGGGAGCATGGACACGAGGGTCGTCCCACAGTTACTAAAAACAACAGACATAGCCCCACTCCACGAAGGAGACAGTAAAGCAATAGCAAAGAACTACAGACTGATAGCACTAACATCCCACATCATAAAAATCTTTGAAAGGGTCCTAAGAAGCAAGATCGCCACCCATCTAGATACCCATCAATTACATAACCCAGGGCAACATAGGTTTAGAGCAGGTCGCTCCTGTCTGTCCCAACTACTGGATCACTACGATGCACTAGAATGCACTAGATGCACTAGAAGACAAAAAGAATGCAGATGTAATATATACAGACTTTGCAAAAGCCTTCGACTAGTGTGACCATAGCATAATAGCGCACAAAATGTGTGCTAAAGGAATAACAGAAGTTGGTAGATGGATCTACAATTTCCTCACAAACAGAACACAAAGTATAGTAGTCAACAGAGTAAAGTCTGAGGCAGCTACGGTGAAAAGCTCTGTTCCACAAGGCACAGTACTCGCTCCCATCTTGTTTCTCATCCTCATATCTGACAGACAAGGATGTCAGCCACAGCACCGTGTCTTCCTTTGCAGATGACATCCGAATCTGCATGACAGTGTCTTCCATTGCAGACACTGCAAGGCTCCAGGCAGACATCAACCAAATCTTTCAATGGGCTGCAGAAAACAACATGAAGTTCAACGATGAGAAATTTCAATTACTCCGATATGGTAAACATGAGGAAATTAAAACTTCATCAGAGTACAAAACAAATTCCGGCCACAAAATAGAGCGAAAAACCAGCGTCAAAGACCTGGGAGTGATCATGTCAGAGGATCTCACCTTCAAGGACCATAACATTGTATCAATCGCAGCTGCTAGAAAAATGACAGGATGGATAATGAGAACCTTCAAAACTAGGGATGCCAAGCCCATGATGACACTCTTCAGGTCGCTTGTTCTATCTAGGCTGGAATATTGCTGCACACTAACAGCACCTTTCAAGGCAGATGAAATTGCTGACCTAGAAAATGTACAGAGAACCTTCACGGTGCGCATAACGGAAATAAAACACCTCAATTACTGGGAGCACTTGAAGTTCCTAAACCTGTACTCCCTGGAACACAGGAGGGAGAGATACATGATTATATACACCTGGAAAATCCTAGAGGGACTAGTACCGAACTTGCACACGAAAATCACTCACAACGAAAGCAAAAGACTCGGCAGACGATGCAACATCCCCCCAATGAAAAGCAGGGGTGTCACTAGCATGTTAAGAGACAATAAAATAAGTGTCAGGGGCCCAAGACTGTTCAACTGCCTCCAAGCATACATAAGGGGGATTACCAATAGACCCCTGGCTGTCTTCATGCAGGCACTGGACAAGCACCTAAAGTCGGTACCTGACCAGTCGGGCTGTGGCTCGTATGTTGGATTGCGTGCAGCCAGCAGTAACAGCCTGGTTGATCAGGCTCTGATCCACCATGAGGCCTGGTCACAGACCAGGCTGCTGGGGCATTGACCCCTGGAACTCTCTCCAGGTAAACAGTTCTCAAAACAGCAAGGGGTCACCCCGATACACAGAGGAGGAGATCAAGCAGACCTGAATAACTATAGGCCAATATCCAACTTACCCCTTCTCTCTAAAATCTTCGAAAAATTAATTCATAAGCAAATCTATTCCTACCTCATCTCCCACAACATACTCAACCCCTGTCAGTTTGGGTTCAGGTCTAATAAAAACACAAATGATGCTATTATACACATGCTAGAACTAATATACACTGCACTCAAGAAAAAAGAAGTCCCATTGGGAATCTTCCTTGATTTATGTAAAGCTTTTGATACAGTTGACCATGATTTGTTGCACATAAAATTATCACACTATGGTATAAGAGGGCACTCCCTCAACTACCTAAAGTCATACCTTAGCAACAGAAGCCAATATGTGTACACATATGGAGTAAACTCTTCCACACAACCAATTACAGTTGGTGTCCCACAGGGAAGTGTTCTTGGCCTTCTTCTCTTTCTCGTTTACATAAATGACCTACCAAATGCATCTCAACTACTCAAACCCATACTATTTGCAGATGACACTACATATGTCTTCTCTCACCGAAGCCCAGTCATACTAGCCAATATTGTAAATACTGAATTACAGAAAATATCTACCTGGATGATGATTAACAAGCTTACTCTCAATATTGACAAAACCTACTTCATTCAGTTTGGGAACAGAAATACAGATGTTCCACTTAACATAATGATAAACAGTTCACCTATCACAAAGCTCACAAGAGGGTAAATTCTTAGGAATCCACCTTGATAACAGACTCAAATTCCAAACACATGTACAACAAATTTCCAAGAAAATCTCCAAGCCCGTAGGCATACTATCGAAGATACAGTACTATGTTCCACAATCAGCTCTCCTTGCCCTATATCACTCACTCATTTACCCCTATCTCACCTATGGAATCTGTGCATGGGGCTCAACAACAATAAATCACCTCAGACCATTAATTACCCAATAAAAGGCTGCAGTCAGAAAGATAACAAATTCCCCCTCCAGGCAGCATACTCCACCAATATTCAAAACTCTAAACTTACTCACTGTACAAAACATCCATACTTATTACTGTGCCTACTACATACACAGAACACTAAACTCAGGTATAAACCCTCCCCTCAAACTTCTCCTTACCAACCTCAACAGAACACATGACCATAACACAAGGCACATATCACTCTTTGATGTTCCCCATGTCCATCTCACACTATGTAAAAACTCAATGCACATAAAAGGCCCAAAAATTTGGAATTCATTACCTGTGAATACAAAAGAAACGCTGTCTGTTTATCAGTTCAAGACTCTTCTTAAAAACACTTACTCACCCAAAACTAAATAAATATTGAATAACTGTATTTCATAGATGTATAACCCATGACCCTATCAAACTATGTTTTTAATTGTAATGCTACAAATTTGTACAACTATAATGCTTCATAATTGAAATGTTCAAATTTCATTGTTTAAAATATTGTTTAAAATACCTAACTGTACTTCATATTGTAAATTGTTTACCATAAATTTTACTACTGAATCTATCATTGCTTAGTTAATCTTAAGTTAATTTTAAGCCTGCCCATAATGCTCTGCATACAAGGGGCTTTTGGCATGTACACCCAAGTAGTATAATTCCTTGCACAACTATGTATCATGTCCAAATAAACATTATTATTATTATTATTATTAATAATAATAATAAAAAATGCCAATATAAAAATAGGATTCAGAATAAACAATGTAGACATTTCTAACACTAAAACAAAATTTCCTCTGTTCATCAGTTATGTCCCCAGACTTCTCCTATACTACACTTGGTTTTCATTTTGATTTTCTATTCGCATAAAAAATAGATTTACTGTCATGCAGGCTACTGCATTATTGTAATAATTGTATATGAAATGTCAGCACATTCATGAACATGTATTAGACCAGCCAGTTGGAACTGTATTGGATGAGTGACATGATTTATGTCCTCTGGAATGTTGGCAAAAATCAAATATTCATGCTACTTTGAGCTCAATTTCCAGCTACTTCCAGTCTGAAACCAAACAAAGTCCTCTCTATTTCTGTAATATATCTTCCATTCTACCAAACGATACCAAGAAACTGAGAATAAAACCATCAGAAAATACAGTGCAAAGACAATATTTTTAAACCATACACATGTCAGTTATTTTCCCCCATCATGCACTATGTAGGGCAGGATTTTTTTTTTTTTTTTTTTTTGGTGCACACTCACTGCATAGACCAATTCTCTCATATCTAGGCAAAAATTTACAGGTTATCTGAGTGAGCTGAGCTTATCACGTAGTTCTACAGCAAAGATCCTGAGCCCAAAGCCATAGTACTACAGCATGGACCCTGAAAGGGTTAAACACTAAAAGCAATTAAAAAAAACGAAAAAATTATAATTGTAAAATGTAAATATTACTGGCACGTTTATGCCGCTGTTGCGGACTCGTGATAATTTTTTTGCCAACTTCAACACACCATAAAATCGTACAAGAATGGTATACAATACCGTATACAACACCGTAGTAAATGACTACGGTGCTCCTCGCACCTACTCCAAGGTTGAGGGACTGATTACCTCATCTTCTGTACATAGTTCTATTGTCTTCAAGTTATGTCTTGGAATTTGTATTGATAAAGCCACTGGATGGCGAAATGTCTACAATAAAGATACCCAAATGTTGCACATGTGTCTTAATTTCACACCATAATATCTTAAGTTTTCACAGATTTCCACTCATTTTAGTCCTATTCAATTCATAAAAATGCACTATTTTATTTTATAAGCTTTTTCTTTTTTTAATTCATGCCACAAACACACACAGGAATATTTTTTTCCGGGTATGACACAGTGAAGGGTTAATAGCTTATTCTGCAAAATTTCTTTTCTTCAGTATTACTGACAGAATGTAATTTATATCTTAGATCTTTCCAAATTGTACAAGTATCCATTCACATTTCTGAACACTGAAATAAAAAGGCAATTCCTGGTTATTTAAATTTAATAACACATTAATAAACCTACCTTTGGTCCAGGGTTTCCTTCAAAGCCAGAAATACCCCGGGTCCCGACATCACCATTTATTCCCTGAAGGCCTGGGAATCCATCAGGTCCTGGAGCTCCAGGATTACCAACAATACCTGTCACAAAGAAGTACATGTACTACGTTCATCACTTTGCCATTTGAAATTTTCAAACTTTTCAATTACATACTTTAGCTTCTTCACTAATACTGTACCTATCTTTTTTTGTATATGAACTAAACTTTTTCCTTCATGTTTAGTTTCATTACTTATTCATGTTTGCTAAAGAAAGGATTATTCATTCACAGTCCAGATACATATTTAACCTGAATCACCAATATCCAAAAACAAAAGTACAGTAGCCTCCTATACCTAATGTGTGTGATGTGGGATGTTATCATGCTAGAAAATCCACTTACAGTATTGTAAATCCAAGCTTGATCTTCTTGACAGTGAGTGCTTAGTAAATGTCAATAATACTCCTTATATACCCATTGTGTATTATACTGGTGATAGTCTTTATGTCCAGACACAGACATGATCCCAATCAACTTCAGTCAATTTAATGCTTTGGAGTTATTAAAGCCCTTTCTTTATACACAGTACTGTACACGGTCACTTTAACATGGTCACAAATCAGTGGAATTTAAAGTTAAATGGCAGTGCTGGATATGGTATATACCTATGACGACATTTGTTGTAGATCCTCATCACTCATCCGTGAGTGGTCGCATGGACCACTTTTCTGCCTACATGCTGAGAAACCTTCATTCACCTATTCTTAGTTGGGTAGTAAACTTTGCCCTTCCTTCCTCCCTCCACATGGTTGACAATGGAGTGTTCATTTTATGAGCATTTTTTAACTCGCACAAGATTTTTTTTTTAACACATCTTATGTACATTTTTTTAACTCGCACAACTCTTTTTTTTTTTTAACACCCTGGCCATTTCCCATCAACATAGAGTGACATGAAAAAAGAAACTTTCACCATCACTCACAATATTGCTGTCTTGCCAGAGGCGTGCAGATACGACAGTTCAGATGTTCCTCCAAACAGTAAACATCCCAAACACCTACTTTTGCATGGAGGCACTGTACTTCCCACCTCCAGGACTCTTTTCCACTAAAACAGATGGTATTAACTGAATTGCTTATGTGCAGCCACCCTTTATAGCTAATGAGAAGGGCATTGTCCACAGCCTTCAGTATTTATCCTGCCTAATTATGAACATACCACATGGTTCAGAACACAACAAGATTGCATTGTCAATAATTATATTGAAAATATTAACAGGGTACCTAGGTAGTAAGTTGGTAGACAGCAACTGCCCAGGGAGGTGCTACCATTCTGCCAGGTAAGTGTAAAATGGAAACCTATAGTAATTGCTTTACATGATGGTAGGATTGCTGGTGTCTTTTTTCTGTCTCATAAACATGCAAGGTTTCAGGTATGCCTTGCTACTTCTTCTTACACTTAGGTCATACTACACATGCATATATATATACACACACACACACCCTGGGCTTTTTTTCTATTTTCTTAGTTTTTTTTTTTTATCAAGTCGGCCGTCTCCCACCGAGGCAGGGTGACCCAAAAAGAAAGAAAATCCCCAAAAAGAAAATACTTTCATCATCATTCAACACATCATTCACTCACACATAATCACTGCTTTTGCAGAGGTGGAACAGAATTATTCCTCCGTAAGCCATGCGTGTTGTAAGAGGCGACTAAAATGCCAGGAGCAAGGGGCTAATAACCCCTTCTCCTGTATACATTACGTTATCTATGGAGGCAAAGAAGGGAATGTATGAAAGTATAGTAGTACCAACACTCTTATATGGGTGTGAAGCTTGGGTGGTAAATGCAGCAGCGAGGAGACGGTTGGAGGCAGTGGAGATGTCCTGGGCAATGTGTGGTGTAAATATTATGCAGAAAATTCGGAGTGTGGAAATTAGGAAAAGGTGTGGAGTTAATAAAAATATTAGTCAGAGGGCAGAAGAGGGGTTGTTGAGGTGGTTTGGTCATTTAGAGAGAATGGATCAAAGTAGAATGACATGGAAAGCATATAAATCTATAAGGGAAAGAAGGCGAGGTAGGGGTCGTCCTCGAAAGGGTTGGAGAGAGGGGGTAAAGGAGGTTTAGTGGGCGAGGGGCTTGGACTTCCAGCAAGCGTGCGTGAGCATGTTAGATAGGAGTGAATGGAGACGAATGGTACTTGGGACCTGACGATCTGTTGGAGTGTGAGCAGGGTAATATTTAGTGAAGGGATTCAGGGAAACCGGTTATTTTTATATAGCCGGACTTGAGTCCTGGAAATGGGAAGTACAATGCCTGCACTTTAAAGGAGGGGTTTGGGATATTGGCATTTTGGAGGGATATGTTGTGTATCTTTATACGTATATGCTTCTAAACTGTTGTATTCTGAGCACCTCTGCAGTATAATGCAGTATAATGATCCGACTTCATTCATACGATAAAAGAAAGGACCTAATTAAATCAGCAATTACAATGAAAAATGGAGTGTACATAAATGAGTGTCTAACAAAAAAACGTCAAAACCTTCTGTTCAGGCTGAGAAAACTTAAACAGGAAAACAAAATACATCAGTGTTTCACGCGAGATGGGAAAATACTAGTAAGGAAAACATCAACAGGACAACAATATACCATCTCAAACGAACATGATTTCTCTACCTTCCTTAGAAAAGCTGACATTTCTGTAACAGATTAGATAAGTGCCCTTAATACATATATACGTGTGGTGCATATGTGTACGTTACTATTATATTGTGCATTATTATTTTTATTATTTTTCATCACTAGCTAATGCCAACTACCTCCAATACTCTATACTTTTTCTTACTGCTAATAATTGCTCATAATTTTTAAATTACAAGTCAAATCTTACTCCAAATTAATAATATTCATTATTCTTACCTGTCCATTTAATTTTGTTTATCACTACTTGTTTTTTAGTCACTTTTCATTGTGTATGCAATTAGTGCATATTCCAATTACTTTTTTGCAAGTACCAAAACTATCTTTGCTAGCTAGTACCAACTACCTCATTTTTTTTTACTTTTTATTGTGCAATAAACTGCTCAATTTATTTAATATTACAAATCAGATCTTACTCCTAAACCAATATTATTTCATAGTGACCATCTGTCCATTTAACTTTGTTTACCATTACTTAATTTTAGTCCCTTATATATTTTCTCCTTTATTTTAGCTTTATATAACTACCCTAGTTTATATATTCACAATTGTTAAAATAATCAAGGTGCTATTCTCAGGTGCTAAAGTAGAATAAGTTCACAATTTTGCCATTATATTCCAAAGCTCATTTATTTGATTACCACTTTATTGTTCACCACAACTTATATTAGTTCCTTTTATATTATAATTTTATACTATAATTCAACTTTAAAGAATTACCTTTATAGTACTACTTACTATCATATTCCCAAGCTCCATTATTTGATCATCACTTTATTTGTATTAGTCCCTTTTATATTGTCTCCTTTATTTTAGCTTTAAAAAAAAAAAAAAACTACCTTAGCTCATTATTTTACATTGTTAAATAATTAGGTGCTATTTTTTAGCTTAAGACTATTTACTTTGTTTTATACTTAATTCTAAACTATAGATTCACTACAAATCTTATGATTACAAGCATTGATCCTGATACCAACCTCTTATTTAATGACTTAAATGGAATCAAACAGTTACTGTAATTACTACACTGCAGAACAATCAAAGGCACTTCTCAGTGCCAACAAAACATAACTATCTTTAACTAAAATATCAGATTTTTTAAAGCAAGCATTAGGGATGACCTCATAGCATTACAAATTTCCCTTTACATGCCAAAAAAGTCCATCATTACACTAATTAAAACCCGGGCTAAAGCCTAAATAGAAACAGATGTCTTTTGCCATTCCGGGTTACACACCATCCCACAACTGTAGGCCAGACCAAAAAGGGGGTGGCACAGCCAAAACTACTCAGCCCAACTAAAATTATCACAAATTACTTGCACAGGGGATAAAACAGGGGGAAATTTATATAATCCCAAAATTTCAAACCCAAAAAACCCCTACAAAAACCTCTCACTTTGAAAAACATCTACGATTTTCCACAGTCAAACATTACCCAATTTAGAAAAAAAACCTAGGAAGTATGAAAACCCTGATGCAACACATAAAACCAAAAAATCACTTACACCTCGGGTTTGACTTCAATAAAAACTCCGCAAGACCGGGACCCACACGTTACTGAATTCACAAACAAAATTGAGTAACTGAAATTTTGGGCTCCCAAACATAACAAAACCTACAAGAGTTACAGAGAAATTTTTCCCTATTGACCACATTGCCCAAAACCCATACCCCCTTTAAAATAAAGGCATAATTACGATAATACCACAGACCACTACCCACTTTCCTCAAAAACAACTCTTGGTAAACTACCCCAACACAAACTAAAGTCACCTTCAGACTTCACAAATTGGGGCACCCCCATTTTAACTTCAAAACAGCAGTAGAAAACATTGATGGCCCCTGGCTAGAAACTATCCCAGATTTTGACGAATGAAAATAAAAATTTTTTCAAAAAAAGACCCATACCTCTATAACAAGCCTCCCCAAAAAAAACAAACAGTTTAAAGGGGGGGCCTAAGAGACTGAATAGTCCCGGGCAAAACACCCAGCTTCTAAAAAATCCAAAAAATACAAAACCCCAAATTATAAAAAACGTCAAAGGGGGTCACTAACCAAGCCCCAAACAAAACGTTACTCGTCAATAAAAACCCCAAAAGCCTGTAGAAGGGAAAAAAAATTTGGGTATTATGGAAAAGATTATCCAAAATTTCGAAGGGGATATAAAAAACCTGGGAAAACCCTATCAAAATTCTTGGGGGGAAAAAAAAAGATATCACGAAATAGCGAAAAAAAAAATTTGCAAATCAGATGAAAACCCCCCCCCCCCCCACCCCAAAAAAACAGCAAACCCGACCAATGATTTCTTTTTCCCTTAAAGGGGAAAAACCCCTTTCCAAAAAATCCCCAAAATCAGATAAACCCCCCCAAATGACTACCTCCCCCGCAACTACCCC